GAAGGATTTTATACACCGGACGACAAACTGCTACGTCTGGAGCGCGGAGGCAGAAGAATAGGCGGAATCGATGAGGACAGATTGAAGGCCAAAGGGTCTAATTTAGGGAAGAGACAATACAGGACCTCGAAAATCCACCTGAAATAACGGACAGCTTCGTCAGCGCCGTGTGAGGACTGATGCTGCATACCGGCGCAGCTTAATGCCACGATCAGTTCATCTTTGTTGGTCGTGTGGTCGATGTTGCTTCACCGTTGGTTGTCGTCGCCACTGGTGTCTTGTCCTGTGCCTCAAGCACACGCACAATACGTAAAATTGATTCGGAACCGGAAGAGCCCACTCCCTTGGTGAGAGAGAGAAAACTTAGCAGTTTGGCTAGCATAATAGCCAACGGACGAAATTGACCATCGGGTAACTTGGATCGAATCCGATCCGCGTAGCGAGGACTCGATTGAAGAATGCATCCTAAAAGAAGGGCTGCGTGGAGAAGAAAAATTCGGTTTAAAAAGGATAAAAGATGAGTGGATAACTATGTATGGTTAATCGTATACGGATGGCTATAAGCACCATGCCGAAAAGTCATCAATTATAGAATAAGCATAGAATGGAATAGAATAAAGCATTGATGAAGAAAAGGTATTCTGGGAAAACAATCGTCTGCATTTGCCACATTTAACTCGCTGTTAAACCACGTTCACGACTAAAATACCAGCCTTACTTTATCACACCGGAACTCGACCACGGGTCCAGATGTGCAATAGTTTGGCAAATGACAGAAGCGTTGATATCAGTGAAACTTTACAAGCAGTAATAGCTATTACAAGTCGCTTGGTGATCGGCCCATTCATATAGAAATTAAGGTTATGGGTAATTATCGAGACTCACCAGCATACGCAGCAACAACAGAATCCTCCATGTGTCGCTGTGCTTGACACATACGCTCGGCCAAACGCTCCTGTTCTTCCTGCGTGTCCGCTACGAACTCCACATCAGCGCCACTTCCTACGCTTTCGTCGTCGTCGTCATCTTCTTCGCACTCGTCGTCCTCGTCCTCTTCACTATCATTGCTGCCTTCACTGGGTGCCTCATCCTCTTCATCGTCGTCGTCATCTTCATTCTCACCACCCCGTCGACGTACAGCTGACTCATCATCGTATTCGTCCATCATACCTGGGTTGAATCGTCGACGAGACCGTCTGCTTTTTGTCCGCCACTTACGGCCTATGCAGAGTGCGAATGCAAAAGTAACATAGATCAATAAGAACGCGTTTTTTTTCAATTGTTCATCATTGCATGACGAACGGTATAACGGGTCAACCATACAGTTCCGCCAACAACCTCAGCTCTGGATTTGAAATGGCGAACCACGTGTAAATTAACAACTCCGAAAATGGCAATCGGTTTGTTGCTTCTGACCTAAAAATGCATTTGAATCATAGCAATGATTCACAAGTAGTGAGCACAGGTTCGTTCGTAAAAATACATACACTCCGAGTAGACGATTCGAAATTTGTGAAAATATACTTCTGAGATAACTAATTGATAGATTACCGGATACGCACATCTGATAAGCATCAACTGCCGCAACACCGATAGTGTACTTCCGGGGAAATTGATCGCAATTATTCCAGTGCTAATTGTTTTACATGTGTATGAATGTATAAAATGCAATAGCAATTAAATATTTATTTATGGCACGTGCCAACTACTTGATTTTAGGTCTTTCATATCTATTGACGAACGTGAACGTATATCTGATATTTGGGAATAGATTTTCGAACCTCCAGATCCAGTTGTTTAGTTTTTCTAGCGGGACAACAAAATTCGGTTCCTAGTGAAAACAGTTCTTCTGTTCTGTTTCAATGTTTATCTTCCAACCGATATGGACTTGTTTATAGTTGAGGTTGTGTTTTGTCATGTGGAGATGCACCAAGAGAACATTTACCCATAATGCCACCAGTTGGAACGAAGCCAGTCGCTTTGCGATCCTCAATTAGGCGCCATTTGAGGCCAGCTTCTTCTATGTGAGTGGGTCGGCCAAATCGTGCTTGTTCCACAGCACTATTCGGTAGCGCCGATGAAGCTTCCAATTGTTCGCGGCGTCGACGGGCAGCCTCGTCATCATCATCGTCCCGTTCAAAGTCATGATTTCGGGCTTGCTCCTCACGAGTAAGGAATAACTGTTTGAACGATATCGTAACCGAAAGTCGAGAGAACAAGAACACAAAACAAATGACATTCAATGGGCAAAACACAAGCGCACAAAGCTACACGGAAAAAGGAAATTAAAATAAACTGAAGTAAAATGTCATTATTTTTTTGTATGAGCAACTGGCAAACGATTATGAAAGTAAAGACCATTGTATGGAACAATGAAATCAATTTGTACAACCATTAACCAAGCACTTCCGCTCACCGGCATTGGATACTGTCTTTTGCCTATTTATTTAAAGATAGGGGTAGAAGAAAGATCTGTGAAATAAGTCGCATCAAACCCATTTCGTTTTTAACACGCGGTTTCTCATGCCAACCAATTAGGAATGTGTTCTGATGGTAAATTCATCCAGAAAAAAATGAATCAAGGATTGTTGGAGAAAATGCCATATTTCCAGCAAACATACTCCTTGAGCATTTCAAGAAAACCATTTGTCATTCTCTATTCAATCGACGTTCATCTCTGACGCTGTGGCGGCGCATTGGTTTACAAATCGCCCGTTTCCGGAGCCCTAATTTTGCAGACACGAATAATCAAAGTGTACTGACCGCGTTTCCTGTTGATCCACATACAAACTCGTTTGAAAGGTTGTCGCCTACATCACATTCTACTAGATCTCAGATAGCTTTTTATATGATTATGATTTTCTGAAGTGGTCAAAGGAGTACTTTACGTTCTCAATGTCAGTTACTTTCACTTTTACTCAACCATATCCCGTTTGAGAATAAGTAAGCTTCGTGGATATCATCTAATGAGTACCGTTGGAATAGGATACAGAACGATGTGCCCAGCATCGCTCAGGGTTGATTCACTGAACGATCGCCCAGTCCGAAGCAAGGGAGAAACGGCACCTCAACTTCAGTTTTTGTCTAAGGTTGCTTTACATGCAAGTGCAGCAAGATTATTCCAGGTAAGTCGGCGTTCTATTAAGCAATTTATTTGCCCCCTCAGAAAAGCCGTGTCGGGGACAACGGGGATGAGAGAAGCAGCAGCTTTAATTACCGGTGGATCGGGATCGTCTGACTACAGCACGATCTACAGACTTCCACGGTGTTTCCTAATGGAGTGCTAGTGGAACAAAGCAACGCGGCGGCCTCGGAAACTGTTGTTGATCGTCTGCAACCACCTATTCAGTGAACCTAAGCTCACTTTAATTGTGGTTATCCAACGGTTTGGTGGCCGTCCCATAACACGGATGACTTAAGTTGAGGTGACTGGAAAAGATGGGCGGAACACCTGGCGAACGGAAGTTAATTGCTATTAAAGTTGATTTTAAAAGCTACCTCAAACTGATGGATCAAGGTGCTTCACGGAGTTTTGTGTTGCGTTTCTGAGAGGAACTGACAGGTATGGATGAGACTAAATTAGACGGCGTCAGAATACTCGTTTTTATTACGACAGTCATAAGTAAAATTTGAAGGAACAAGTCCCATGAATCAACGACCTGTTAGAGGAAGATAAAAGGATTTGTACAACTATTATATTTCATGTGTTGGAGTATTGATTATGCACCAAAAAAATCACCGCACAATCTTTATAACGAAAAAAACTGATCAAGATTCGCTCCTGGGCGGTGCTTTTAGGTCAAAGCAAGCGAAGTTTCTTCGAGTATTCACAACCGGTTCGTCAACGCCTGATCTGAAAGTTAGGGAGTGTGGCGAAACCACAATTCATTAGAAGGCTCGAGTCCATCATCATCGGATCATACGTCTTTTGGAATTAGTCAGATATCCAAGCTACCCAATACAGCTCGATGTTAAGTCAAGTTGGTGAACATGACCAGAACTGGCAAGATGTGAATACGGGTGCGCACATCCCTTTCTAGGTGGGTATGAAATTGGAGCTTTAACCAACTCGCCCAGATGAACTACCAACGGTTCACCGACCCAGTTATGATCCCGAATGTTAGCTTTTCCTCCACTCACTTTGGTCGGGAAGCACCACCACGTGCAGGTAGTGAGTAGTACCTTGGAACCATAGGCTATTTGAGACGCTTGGTCCAAATAACCAAGCGTCTCAAATAGCCTGTGGTTCCAAGGAGCATTCGGTGAGGTACAAAGGCTGACCGTACTGAAGCATCCAGAGACCATACAACAGTCAACCCGGACTTCGGATTTCAAGATTGTGAGAGAGGGAAACAATGGAACAAGTTCCATAATTTCATTTTGGGGGAAGTTGAAGAATGACAATAAAAAACTTGGTGATTGGAAATCCAAATGGGTTCCTGCTGCCGCGGATATAACCCTTGGGTCTAGGCCCAATAAATAACTGATTGCGCCTAATCAGCGGCGACGATCGAAAGTGGTGGATTTACCGCTTGAATCTCCGCACAAAACACCACATTTATCCGTTTAAAACACTGAAGCGTCGCGAATGTGACTTAAGAATAAATGTGATTATTCATTATTTCCGAGATCTGTTTACCCGGCAAGATTCTCCAAAAGAAACAAATGAACCACACTACTAGTCACCGGTTCATCTAGAACAACGCTTCTCCCTGGTCTTTCGCGCTAGCAATAGTGCTTAGCATAGAAAACTTCTCGCTGCTCTCACACTCCGCATCACCGTGTCGCTGAATCATGTTCTGTCAGCCGAAGAGCTTCTGTCTCTGATGTTTCTCAGCCTAGCTACATTCCATGTACCTCGATGTTTAGTTCGTATGTTCAAGACCCTATCCATCAGTGTATTGTTTCCGTCGTCAAAAGATTCGTATTCAAGATTCACTACTTGATTGACGTCTTCATTCAACAAAGCCGGGAAGTTTCATCTTCACCCTGTTAGCGACCCTGAGGCTGTGGCGTTTGGTTTTGCCGGTTTTGCCGCGGCTGTCGGTGGGAAGGCTGAAGCCAACTTGGTGGCATGCATCCCAGTCGACGGTAGTTTGTGCACAGTGAACCTCAGAGGCTCATGCAAAGTAAGCAGCCATCGAACTCATAGATGAAATTTACGTCGGCGCACGCGCCTACGAACCGCAGTCTAAATGCAAAAATAAATTTTACCAAGGGCTAAACAACCTCTGGTGCGAAGTGAGTCGGACTGATATTGTGATTTTAGGAAGATACGTGTGGTGGTGGTGCAGTGGTTTAGTCGCTGTCACCGGCGTGCTTTGGACCCTATGGTCCGAGGTTCGAGCCCCGCCCCCGCCACCCGATTTTGGTGGTAGGCAGCTCTGCTGTCGTCCGGTTCAATACTACGCCTAACCTATAGGGGGCTTATGTTGTTCGCCAGTCCAAGTTCCGAGGCTTAGGTTGCCGGTTTCCACCACTGAACAACAGGTCCTCGTGACAATGGGGTTCGCCCCGTCTCCTGTTCATCACACCTAGGTGTGTAATAAAAAAAAACGTGAATGCTAGAGTAAATCGGATGTCTTCTAAAGATGTGCGTTTGGAAGGCCCTTTGAAGTAGGTTCCCTTCGCTCGGAAATGAGGGAACGGTTTTGTTTTCTTTCTGATCACCGCCTTCTACCATCAATGGAGAATTCAGTTGCTCTATTTTTGGGCATACGTCGTTCGCCCCGTTCTAGTCAGCGATGGACCAATATCGAATGCATCGATGCCAGTTAAAAACGACTAGGTCCTATACAGTATTACCGATCGTATTGGATCACTGTCCCCGAATCTGACAGTACATTAGTTTGGGTTATGTTGTCCATATGTTGTGGCGGGCATTAAAAACACATTGGATAGCCTAGGATGCATTGTTCTAACCAATCTGCCTAGCCGCCTATCAAAACGCGCTGATTAAAAAACTGGAACCAAATGCTCATTACAAAGTTAATGGTTGTAAAAACTGAAGCTGATCGCTCATCAAGAATGCTCTGTGTTCTACTGGTATAGTGAGTTATGGCCTTGGGTTGTAATATCCTGGATTTTGCGGAGTCTTTGTGACTCCTTGAAGCATGCCGACCAACCCTGACCGGCAATGTGCACGATGAAACACGGCCCGCAGCGAGATGTGAATCTACCGTAAACCTATGTGGAGATTGTGAAATATTTTGGCCTCAAACTTCCTCATAGATAGAACATGTTGTCACCATTCCGCTACGCTGTTTACCTCACTCGGATAACTGATAGGAAAGTAACACACCTTAATGAAACGATCTGTGGAGCTAACTATTTATCTATTCACAATCAACGGGGTCTTGCACGCTGATTGGGGCTCAATGTGTGCCGGTTGTGGATGCATAAATCGAAACTTCACCCTCTGTTAGTCATTGAATCGCCGTTATGGTTACCGAAGACCAAATATCCCTGCTTGGACAGAGGCGCAGCCTCTGATTTCATCGATAGGACTGAAAAACGGAACCCCATGACGAAAAATGGAGTACCTAAAAAGTATGTGCTGATGCTCACATTTGGTTAAGGCCTATGGCCAAACTTCGACAACTTTAGTCGTTTACAGCAGGATGCGATAGGGCTGCCCTATTTCCTCGTTCCTTATCAACTTGGCCATAGAGGATGCCAAGTTTGACATACAATGGGACAGGATTTTTGACCTAGAATATGCTGAAATCACCTTGCTCGGTAGTACAGGTAGTACAACATTCTTGAACCTCTTGGTAATCGAGATAACTAGATATGATATCACTTCGCAACATCCAAATACAAAGTCCTTGTAAAAGAATGGTTGGAGGCTGCGCCTGCACTCAACCATTACGGTGATCAGTTGCAAGTAGTGAGCTTCAAATACTTCGACAGTTTGATGCCAATTGAAAGTAATTTTGGGAAGATTGCATTATGAATAGCAAAATCTGTAGTAGCTTTTTCCCAATTAGGACACCTACAGTGCTACATGACATCTGACTTCCCCCTAAGAGTTGTACATCACTGTAGTCCGTAGTGTTTTGCTTTACAGTTTAAACCCGGTCTGTCCGCGCTGAAGATGAAAACACGAAGCATTGTCCGTGTCCTAAGGGGGGGGGAGGCATCGGTGGAGCAATGATGATGTTCCTCGTCGTGTGTTCAGTGCGGACAGTTGTTCGGGAGAAGAGGAAATCGCTCGACATCACCTCTCATTGGAGTCCAAGAGATGAGGATTGTCATCGGTTAGAGGCACTAGGGAGTATGGTTCGAAATACAAATTTATGGCCTGCTGAAATTCTGGAAACCATAAACAGACAAAAAAGGACAAATATGGGAGAAAACGTTATTTTTCTTGTCAACGTGTCTCCGCATTTTCGTTTTCCTTATACATTCTCTCATACCCAAGTTCTCTCTTTTCTTTTTTCTGTTTTTGCATAAGCAACACACTTGTTCTCAAGCCACATATATATATCTTACTGCAGTGTGCTATTCCAACTGCTTAGCGCCTTTATCTATTGATCTCTGATTACGAGTTGGCGCCGTGTCTGTTTTCATTGAATGATCAGATGTACATTGTGTAAGCAAGTAACACGTAATGGGAAGCATAGACAGTTAACCGGTTTTCGGATTTCGGACAACTATACTTAATTGGTCACACCAAATAAGATCTAAACAGTGACGATAGATGTAGAACTATGAACGTCAGATGGTAGATCACTGTTATCTCGAAGAACTAATAAGTGCTCGCCAGTACGAAATTGTCTGCACCGGAGACAAAACAAGAAAAAAAAAGAACATGGTTCCAACTGCTGATAGTGAACACTCACTTGAATCAATTCGTCCAAAGCCGAGGTAAGTTTGGCACGGGGTTTTCTGACAGTGTTTTCACCAGCCTCATTATTTTCATCCTCCTCTTCGTCGTCCTGCTGATCATCGTCATCTTCATCATCATCACTCGCATCGTTATTCTGATGGCCTGCAGCAGCCGAAGTTCCTTTAGAAGCCACAGTTTCTGAACGACCACGACCGGCATGTCGTTTTGGAATGTCCAGATGAACTAGTCGCGTGCGATTCTCAGGACAGTGTTCGCATAAATTGACCAACAGGCAAAGTGTAAGCACGAGAAGATCGAAACGTTTGCTATCTGGCATTCGTTGGGGCAGACTGAGAATGCATTGGAGTATGGTTTCCAGCAAACCAGGACAACCACCCAAGCGATCACTGGCAAATTCTGGAAAAAAACATTGAAAAGTAACAGAAGATGAAGTATGCCATGTTTTTATTGAAATGCGTCCCTTGAAAGTAAAACTCCGTAGAGATAACGGATCATCAAGTCAAGTCTTCTAGCGGCTTCAATTCTCCCCATAGGGGATGAACATTCAGCTACTA